AAAAACTGCTTAATCTAGATGTTGCCCAGTCTAATCGGATTGAGAGTTTAGACTGCGTGCTTATATTTTCTTTTCCTTTGGTAACTAACTCTGACTATCACTTATAATCACTTAAAATCTATCTTTTGTAGTCAATAAATGTGTTTAACTCTTTATCTTTACCAGTAAGTTTGCCTGAAGTGTTTGGTAAGGGTGTTTGCTCAGGTTTACAAAGGCTGGTGTATATCCACTTTCCATTGATGAAGTGGTGAACCAATTAATAAAATTGCACTGCTTGTCTTGAGCAGTGCAAGACGGTACATTCTCAAGGCACAAGGCTGGGAGCTGGGGGGATTTGGCTGGTGCCTTTCTCTGTGTGATTCATGAGTGGCTCTGGAAGCATTCATGCAATAGAGCTGGGTGTGGGGCTTCACATGCAGTTGTGTTGAGTGATAACAGCACCTGTAGGGGTTTGCTGCTTGTCACTAGCAAAGCATTGTGAGAGACCGCCCGGGCTGGAGAAAGTTAAGGGGGCACAGTAGTCCCACAGTCCCAGGCTACACCCCGGGGATCCCATCACACCCCCCATCTGACCCTGTCCCCCATGCCCCTGACAGCCCCACATCTACTCCCATTCCCCCACCCCAGAAAGCCCATCCTAATCTGACCCTGTCCTCTAGGCCTCAGGGAGCCTCTATCACAACTGCCCCTGTTCCCCCATCCCTTGAGAGCCCCCATATCTGACCCCACCCCAGAGAGCCCCCCATCGTCCCATCCCAGAGAGCCCCCCCATCTGACCCCATCCTCTCACCCCAGGGAGTCCACTCAGACAGCAGTTTGTGGTCCATGGGGGAGCTGCCTGAGGCTGGCATTAGATGATGGAAAGGAGACTTTTCCACTTCCTTCCCTCTGCCCTATCCCCGCCCCCTCTCCCTGCTGAGCTGGGGCTGCACAATACCATCCCACCCGCTAGGCCTTGCAGGCTGATGGGGAGCACGGGGGCACTTGCCCTGCCGGCCGGGGTGAGTAGAGCAGCAACGGGCCTTGGGGGGTTGCAACTCACCATCGAGCAGATGAAATTGATCCGCGGACTCACAGAATCCTGCAACAAAGGGCACATAGAATCATAGAATATCAGGGTTGGAAGGGACCTCAGGAGTCATCTAGTCCAACCCCCTGCTCAAAGCAGGACCAATCCCCAACTAAATCATCCCAGCCAGGGCTTTGTCAAGCCTGACCTTAAAAATCTCTAAGGAAGGAGATTCCACCACCTCCCTAGGTAACCCATTCCAGTGCTTCACCACCCTCCTAGTGAAAAAGTTTTTCCTAATATCCAACCTAAACCTCCTCCCCCACTGCAACTTGAGACCATTACTCCTTGTTCTGTCATCTGCTACCACTGAGAACAGCCGAGCTCCATCCTCTTTGGAACCCCCTTTCAGGTAGTTGAAGGCTGCTATCAAATCCCCCCTCACTCTTCTCTTCTGCAGACTAAACAATCCCAGTTCCCTCAGCCTCTCCTCATAAGTCATGTGCTCCAGACCCCTAATCATTTTTGTTGCCCTCTGCTGGACTCTCTCCAATTTGTCCACATCCTTTCTGTAGTGTGGGGCCCAAAACTGGATGCAATACTCCAGATGTGGCCTTACCAATGCCGAATAGAGGGGAACGATCACGTCCCTCGATCTGCCGTGGCGGGGAGAGACACTCTACCCCAGCCCCAGGCTGCTGTGGCAAGAAAGGGCTGGGGGGAGTCCAATCTCCCCGTCGCAGTCCCAGGGCATCCCACAACCCAAACCCCTCATCCCTGGCCCCACCCCAGAGCCCACACCCCCAGCCAGAGCCCTCACCCCCCCTGCACCCCAATCCTCTGCCCCATCCCTGAGTCCCCTCCCACACTCCGAACTCCTCGGCCCCACCCCCGCCACACATCACCTCCATATCAGTGCACATAACAAAATTCATTCCACACATGGATATAAAAATGAGAAGGAACATTGCCCGTGCCCCAGGGTGCAGAGGAAGACGACCCCCGCCATTGCACTGGGCAGTGGGACAGCCAGGACTCACCATACGTGGGGAAGTAGTAGGTGAAGTCCTCGCTCATGTTCATCTCTGTGATGCGCTGCTCGAATTTACCCACGATGGCGTCACTGACCCGGACGCTGCGTCCTTTGGGAGGGGTGAAATAAAGAGAAGCCAATGGCAGGCACTCTGTTTGGCCCCAGGACACCAGTGACTGGGGAGAGTGGGTCAGGAACCATTCCATGGAAAGTTTCTTGTCGGAAATGCCAATTTGTTGAAACCGAAACTTTCCCAGGGAAAGGGGCAGTTTTGACAAAATTTTCCACTCAGAAAAAAAAGTTTTGAAATTGTTGAAATGTTTCATTTTGATATTTTCTAAAGAAAACATTCCAGTTTCTCAGTTTCAAAGTGACTCTACATTTAGAGATGTAAGCTAATTATACTAAAAAACCCCACATTTTAACTAGTTGAAATTTAAATGAAACATTTTGATTGACCCAGTCGACATTTTTTTCTGATGTTTAGTTTGTGAAAATTTTCGAGATTTCGATTTTTTTATCTCTATGCTGGATGGGGCCATTTTTCAACATTTCAAACATGTTTGTGGGGCAGGAAAAGCATTTCAAGCCCAGCTCTAGTCCGAGTCTGGTGATCATCCATCCAGGGTCTGGAGCCACCAGACCAAATTCAGCCTTCCCATGAGCAAGTGTGATTCCTACCACACACTTGAGCCCAGCCTCAAACCAAGTCATTTGCAGCCTCCAGGAAGCATTGCTGCCACGTGAAATAGAATCAGCCCCAAAGCCCCACTGCCCTCACCTCCCCACAGCAGAGCCCTACCCCTCCGGCACAGTGCCACCCCTATGTGTGGGGAGCAGCCGGAGCACAAACAGTGCTGGTTCTGGACCCCATGGCTATAGACCTGAGCTGGGAGGGAGCAGCCTGGAGGAAATGCCCTAGGACACAAGCTGGGGCGCTGAGCAAAGTCACCCCAATCTAACCTGTAAGCAAACAAAACTTGGGGCGCTTGTCTGGGCCCTATCCCATGAGGGCCACTAGTGCCCCCTGGGTCCAAACATTCCCCCCTAGTCTGACAGCCTGCCCCACTGTGCCTCAGTGCCTCGCCATGGGGAGGCAATTCCCCAGGGTAGCAAATGGCAAGGCCATGAGCCTGCACACCCACCATAGAGCTTGATGGAGATCTTCCGGAGCTTCTGGTAGTACAGGATGGCGTAGCTGCTGTAGTCTGTCTCCCCCACCACCACATCCACGTTGCTGCCACGGCCTAGGAGCCAAAGCCACGGGATAGCAAATTATGGACTGGTCTCATGGTAGTGTGTAGGGACCCCGGGCAGGGATCAGGGGCCAGGGCCCCATTGTGCTAGGCTCTGTACTAACTGCAGTGACACTAGCTAGACAACGAAGGCTAGCCAAGGAGAGAAAGGTGGTTCAGTGGTTAGGGCATTTGCCTAGGACTCAGGAGACCTGGCGTTGAGTCCCCGCTCCACCCTGTGCTTTCTGAGTGCCCTTGTGCAATACGAGTTAGGGGCCTAAGTACTTTAAAACTCTGGTCCTTAGCCTGTCTGTGCCTCAGTTCCCCATCTGTACAATGGGGTAATAGCCCTGCTCTGCCTCCCAGGGGTGTGTGAGGAGAAATACCTGAAGGACTGTTGCAGAGTTGTTGTTGCCGTGTTGGTCCCAGTGTATGAGAGAGAGAAGGTCGGGGAGGTGATTTATTGAACCAACATCTGGTGGTGGAAGGGACAAGCTTGCGAGCTTCACAAGAAGAGCTCTGTGGAGCTCGAAAGCTTGTCTGGATAGGCCCATCAGTGGATGGAGGATATGGCCATCGGTGGCTATTAGCCAAGATGGTCAGGGACGCAACTCCATGCTGTGGCTGTCCCTAAGCCTCTGACTGCCAGAAGCTGGGAGTGGATGAC